AAAAACAGCAGGGTGAGGAGGGGAGCCTCAGGGGCACAAGCAGTTAAGCACATGCCAATCAGAGGTTGGCACGTAGAACCTTGGCGGAGCCCCGGTGGCACAGTGGTTACATACTGGGCTGCTAACCCCAAAGTCAGCAGTTCAAAACCACCAGCCATTTCATGGGAGAAAAATGAGGCTTTCTACTCGGGGAAAGAGTTACAGCCTGGGGTAGTTCTACCCTGTCCTACGAGGTCACTATGAGTCAGAATCAACTAGGTGGTGAGCGAGTTTGGTTGTTTTGTTTTGTTGGGGGGGGGGGGCGTTGAAAAGGAGCACGGTGGTGTAACAGATAATTGAGCTGCTCACAGCAAGGTCAGCAGTACGAAACCAACCGCCAATCCACAGGAGAAAGACGGGGTTTTCTGCTCCAGCCTCAGAAACCTCAGGGGCAGTTCTACCCTGTCCTACAGGGTCCCTTGAGTCGGCATCGACTCGATAGCAGTGAATCGGGGACCTACGGAGCAGCTTTGTGGAAGAAAGACCTGGCAAGCTATCTGCTTCCAAGACTGCAGGCAAGGCAGCCCTCTGGGGCCCCTCGACTCAGTCCCCACGGGTCACAGTGAATCAAAGTCAACCAGATGGCCTCTGACAACAGCACCGCAGGGAGAGCCAGCGTGACAGAGACAAGTCCTTTGGGGGAGGGGGGAGGGGCAGAACACAGACTGGAAGGGGGGACACACCAAAAAGCTAGACACTGCCATCGAGCCAATGCCGACTACTACTACAGGACGGGGTGGACCTGCCCCTGTGAGGCTGAGGCTGTAACTTTACAGGAAGTAGAAAGGCTGCCTTTCTCCCCCTCGGAGCGGCTGGTGGTTTCAAACTGCTGGCCTTGCAGTTGGCAGCCCAACGTGGAACCACTAAGGCAGTGGTTCTCAACCTTCCTAATGCCGAGACCCTTGAATACAGTTCCTCATGTTGTGGTGACCCCCAACCATAGAATTATTTTCCTTGCTACTTCACAACTGTCATTTTGCTACTGTTATGAATCCAGCGACCCTGTGAAAGGGTCATTCGACCCCCAAAGGGGTTGCGACCCACAGGTTGAGAACTGCTGCACTAAGGCGACAGAGTGAGGCCACTTAGGGATGGTGGATGGGGAAAGGGAACAGCCAGTGCTAAGGCCCCAAGGCAGGACACACGGGGCAGGGCTGCAGAACCACAAGGAAGCAGCTGCCTGCAGCGAAGGGGGAAGGGGGGAGGCAGGGCTAAAGAGCACCCGCACTTGACACCCTTTCAGCAGCGACACCATGGATGAGCCACCGAGAGCTTTTCAGCTAAAGCTTGACCAGATCACAAGGTGTGAACAGAGGGGGCAGAGCCGCAGGCAGGAGCAGAGGTGGCCCAGGGAGATCAGCGGGTGGGTAGGCAGCTTTGTGGACCAACAATCTACAAGTGGCCAAAGGGAGAGGGGTGAGGTGTCTTGCCGGGATCCGAGGGCCCATCCTCCACACCACACTGGGATGTGTGAGAGAAGACAGTGATGCCCTAGCCTTTCTGCTCCTGGGTGCCTCCTACAGTCCCTCCCCCACCCACCCCTGGAAAGAGCTCCTGGGTCCCTCTCTGTTAAGGGTCCTGGGAGACTTCAGCACCCTGCTTTCCCAGACTTGGGCTGGGGAACAATGGTGACTGTGATGAAAGGCACCAACCCCAGGGCTCATTAATCCTCTCCCCACTGGCCGCTTCTGTTTACTCATTGGCAAATCCACCGGCAGCTCCAGGTGGATCCTGGTTCCACCTCACCGGTGAGAAGAGGTCTCTGAGCCAAAATATTGTTTGCACCAAAAGGGAAGAGCCAACTCGGTTCTCAGCTCTGCAAATAGGATCTCGCTGCAGGCCATTCTCCGCCCCTCTCTCAGGCCACCTGTCCTCACCCCCCCCCCCCCCCCCCCCCCCCCCCCCCCCCCCCCCCCCAGAAAAGGGCACTGCTCGTTTGATCACGGCTCTTTCTTGGTTCATGCACCCTCATTTTCAGGGAAAGCCCATTCCCTTCGAGCATTTAACCACTCATTTCCTTCTCATCCTGAGGAAAAGCTCCCCCGCCCCCTTCTTACTGTCGCAAAGCTTTTTTCAAAAACAAGCAACAACAACGCCCTGCTTCTTCTAGTCACAGGGAGCCCTGGTGGCGGAGGGGGTTAAGCTGCTAACCACAAGGTCAGCAGTCTGAACCCACCGCCCACTCCTTGGAAGAAAGACGGGGCTTTCTGCTCCAGCCAAGAGTTCCAGTCTCAGAAACCCACAGGGGCAGTTCTACCCTCCCCAGAGGTCACTCTGAGTCAGAATCAACTCGATGGCAGTGAGGTTTTTTGGTTTTGGGGTTTTTCTCTTTCCGTGACACCCGTAAGAGCCGGGACTCCAAGGGGCTGCCTCGTGCATGCCCCAGCCCTCACAGGTTTTCCACCTTTGACAGGGCACAGTCCTAGTGCTGCCTCTCTGTCGTTCTCCCGCTGGCTCCCGCCTCACACAAGGGGCTCCCGGCTCTCACGGGTTATGTCTCCTTTCACCACTCTGAGCATTTTAAAAGCAGGCTACGGAGAAAAGTCCACTCAGACTCAGAGTGACCCTACCTGACAGAGCAGAACTGCCCTCTGAGGCTTCTTGGGCTACACTCATCACGTCTTTGCTCACAGGAGACCACAAGCGGGTTTCCACCACCAACCTTCGGGTTACCAGCTATGCTAACCGCTGCACCAGGGGGCTCCTTCCAGAGAGGCTAAGGCACACTTTTAAACAGCACACGATGGGTGTCTCGCAATGCCACAGTTCTCTGGCAGACTTAAGCACGGCTGGGGCCACGACTTCCATTCTGACTCACTGCCAGCTGATCTCACTCCACGCCGTGGAACAGTTTCCACCCAAAAACTTACTCGATTACACCACGCGTGGAGATAGAGTGAAAAACTCTCTAAGTCAATAATGATGGATAACAAGGATCTAGGGGATGAAGAAAATGCCATTACTTTAGAGCAGGAATAGGAACATTTGGGGGTTTTTATTCTGACAGGGGCCAGACAAAACGGCCCCCTTAAAAGTGAGCCTGCTGGATCTGGTCAAATGTGTAACCAGTTCACCCCTAATGTGAAGGCCAGAACTGCTTCTCTTTGGGCAAACATGTAAAGGGAGCTGGTGTGAATGATTTCACGGGCCCGCAGGAGGCCAGGTGGCTTGGTGGTTACTACACAATCGTTGGGCTGCTAACCACAAGGTCAGCAGGTCGAAACTACCAGCCAGTCCTTGGGAGAAAGTGAGAGTGAGAGCCTCAGATACCCACAGCGGCTGCACTACCCTGTCATCCAGGGGCACTGTGAGCAGGAATCCACCCCATGGCAGGGACTGTGGCTTGGTTTGGTAGAAGTCCCATGGGTTAGATGTTCCCCAGCCCTGTTTTAGAGGGTCAAGTACCTTGTGTGTCTTCATTTACTTACTAAGCACATAGGAGGCGCCTAGAGGATGAAAATATGATCCAGGCAAAAATGCTGCCTCCGAGAGGGTAAAGGGCAACAGGAAAGATCTAGGAAGCAAAGCTATGGATAGAGGTGTGTACATGTGTAAAGATAGTAAAATTCATAAAAACAGAGGGATTGGCCTAATAAGGCAATACACTGAGGTAATGGGCAGAGTTTGGGCGTCTGCTCAAGCCCTCCCTCAATGCAAGAACACTTTGTTCTTCTAACAACCTGGCATTCAGTGATGCTCACCCTCCCAACACAATCGCTGAAGACAAAATGGGTGCATAAGCAAATGTGGTGAAGAAAGCTCATGGTGCCTGGCTATCAAAAGATATAGCGCCTGGGGTACCCCACTTAAAGGCTTGAAGGTAAATAAACGGCCATCTAGCAGAGAAGCAACAAGCTCACATGGAGAAGCACACCAGCCTGTGTGATCACGAGGTGTTGATGGGATCAAGTAACAGGCATCAGAAGACCCCAAACAAAAAGAACATATTGTTGAGAATGAGGACGGTCGGAGCAGAGACCCCAAACCCATCTGTAGGCAATGGGACATCCCCTCACAGAAGAGTCACGAGGAAGGATGGGTCAACCAGGGTGCAGGATACCATAGATGAAACACACAATATTCCTCCAGTTCTTTGAGGCTTCCTCACCCTCCACTATCATGACCCAATCCGGCCTTTCAGTTCTGGCCAGACCGGAGCATGGACACTGGTACAGATGAGAGCTCACGACACACAGAATCCAGGTCACATAAAGCCCTCAGGAATAGAAATGGGAGTGGCGATACCAGGAGGGTGGGGGAAGGTGGGGAAAATAGAGAAGGAAGACGGACATGAATGTTTACAAAATGATGTTAGCAACATATGTACAAATATGCTTGTTATAAGAGGCCCCCATAAAATGAGCTTTTAAAAAACAAACAAACAAAAATCAATGCTGCCTCCAAGAAACATAGTTTCTGTTTGGTCGGGGAACAACTACAACAAAAAATCCCTTGTACAGAAATAAGATAAAGGAGATGCATGCAACAGAAGCAATGTAGCGACTCTGAGAGTCTATGTCCTAGTAATGGCATTCTGACTCAGGGAGACCCCAGGGTGCCAGAGGGGAGCAGTACTCCCTGGGCCTCCAAGCAGACTCACTGCCAGGCCTTTCTGAAGGGGTCAAAGGCGCGTGCATTTTCTTCCTTAAAATACAGTAGAACCGCGGACCTGGCGCTAATCCATTCTAGAAGGAATGTCAAGGTGTGATACAGACAAGTTCCGAATCAATTTTTCCCATAAGAAATACCTGGGAAAAAAAATCAAAAAAAGAAAAAAAAGAAAGAAATACCTGAAAATGGATTAATCCATTTGAGACCACCAAGTTTTTACCCTAACCTGCCTTTTTATACAAAACATTACACAGAAATTTCAAAGTAAATAATTTCAGAGGTAAATAATATGATTTAAATAGGAAACACAACATTTAAAAAGTGTTTAACAACTACCGTATGGCCCATACCTTGAGATTGATGAGAATCTGGATCTGTGGGCACGGATGTGGAGAAGACCTATGGAGAGAGAGAGAGAGAGAGAGAATCATTGTTTGGAGAGGGAATAACCTTCCATAAAATCAACTGATAGCTGCTTTTCAGTAGTTTTTTTTGTTTTTTTTTCTTCTCCCTTCTTTGCCTGTTTCCACTAGGACCTGGCTGGCTTTCTCAAAAAAAAAAAAAAACACACACACACACACACACACACACACACAAAAAATCTGTCTAATGTAGTCTGCTGTTGGCGTTTCCTTAACTGTTTACTAAAAGGGTTACCTAAATTATAATCAACAATATCAATAACAAGGTTAACCAGTTCCTTATGATGATTCTTTTCAAAAACTCTTTCTTAGGACCCATTTTTTTTTAATCTAAAACTGTACAAAAAGCCACAAAAACTAAGAAAATTATAGAGAAACACTTGGAACACAGCCACAAAAGGTTTAAACATGTGGTAGTTACATAGTCTGTTGTCAATTTGAGGATTAAGAGTGAAGGGGTGGAGTTTAGCCTGTCAATCAGGTGGCAGCTTGATGACCTCATTTGGAGGCGCTGAGGAGATAAATAGCTCATAGGAGGCAGGACACATGCTCACTATCTGGGAGACATTGCAATTGACAAGCCATATGGAGACAGGCTGATGGCAGCCAAAGACTCGGAGCTGGAAGACCACATGGAGACCCCTGCCAGCATTGAGATGCTTACACCGCCACTTAACCCACAAGACTTTCCACCCACTGGCCTCTGCTCGTCCTGCAACCTGCATCATTGCATGTGTTTCATGAGTCTGAAGAGGAATTTATAGATTGGTATCGGACATCTGGGCTAATAGCAGACTTATGGACTTGATCTGACCTGGGCTGTTACCTCAATATTCAACTGCTCTCGTATACAAAGCTCTTTCTTATACATATGTGAGTGTCTACGAATTTGTTTCTCCAGTCCACCCAGATTAACACACTAACAACACTGAGTGACCAAAAACAGGAACTGCTTTTGTTGACAAAAATCACGTGCGTCGGGTCGGATTCCAATGTTTGTTCCAGCTCTGATGCAAAGCTTTCTCAATATTTTGGGTCGAAACCCCATTATGTCGAGTACTGATGTGGTCGAGTTCCGGGGTTCTACTGCATAAGGAACTTTCCAGCACGTTTGGTTAACAGCCAAGTAACTGCTTGCACCACCCTAGGACTGCTTGACTAACTAGTTAATACTAACCAGTAAGAGTCATCCTAAGAACTGCTTAGGGGTGATGGCAGAAATTCCTACCCATACAGTTTCACTTGGACAAGCTATGTCCCATTTCCGCAGGACCCTGCCAGCGTCTCCCTTGGTACATTGCACCTTTCTTGTTATTTAAGTTTCCTGGAGGGGGTGGGAGGGAAGACATTTAGGATGACGTTTCACCTAAGCAATACAATGAAGAAACAGAAGCCAAAACGAAGCTTTAGTAAAACAGGGTCTGCTTACCACGGCCATGATCATTTGCTCAATGGCCTGGAATAACGTCAGGATGGGGTTCCTGGATTGCTGCAACCCAAAGCCTCCTTACTCACTGCTGTTGGGCCAATCCCAACTGATCGAGACTCCATAGGGCAGACTAGAACTGCCTCATCCGGGGATTTTCTGAGGCCGTCCATCTTTAGAGAAGCGGAGCAGCTCATGGGATCAAACCACAGACCTTCTGGGTAGCGGGGTGCCGCTTAACTCTCTGTGCCCCGGGGCTTCTTTTACCAGCAGAAGTGGCCACACACACCCAAAAACCCACCTCAAAACGGCATGGGGTGGCCGAACAAGAATTCAAAGGAAAGGGCTCTACAGGCTGCCCGTGTGGGGTTGGTGGGCCTGAGCCAGGCACTGCTTCAAGATCTTTACAACTCAGATTAAAGCCCCTTCACCCTCACAATCAACCCGGGTAGCAGGTAGGACTCCCTGGGTGGCACCAACAGATAAGCGAGTAGCGAGAAGGTGGTTGGTTCAAATCCATCCCGAGGCCTGCTGATCTGCTTCCGGGAAGACCACAACCAGGAGACCCTTTGTTCTTTTCTGCAACTCGTGGGGTCGCTATGGGTCGGAACCAACTCCGCGGGTACTGGTGGGGTTGGTTTGTGCGTTTGGAGGTGCTGTTTGGCTGTGGTGTGGCAGGCGGTTGACAACCGGGGTTGGTGGGGCGAGGGGAGGGCGGTGGAAGTCACAGTGCAGCTCCCAGGACTGCGTTGAACCAGTTTATTCGCTGAGGCACCGCACTGGATTTACAAGGACAGTCAAGCAGCACTTCCAAACCATGGCTTTTACTCTAGCTAAACCCTTTTCCTTTCTCTCCACAGGGGGCCACATTTTGAGGCCAACCTTGAAAACAAAGGAGGCCTCAGGAACCTCCACAGCTAGAGGCAGCTTTTACCTTTCAAAGGCTAACCAACCCCAGAGAAACATTCCTGGCTCCTCCCAGGATAATCTAAGACTGTTAAACTGAGCCACGTGGAGAAAGTGCTTGCAGATATTAGCCAACAGAATATAAGCAACAACATTAAAAAAAGACAGGCCTGTTCAATTTTCCGCTAATAATAAGTTGCTGTGTCCCGTGAGCTTTCTGTAATCCCCCCTGACGTCGCCACACAAAGGCGACTTTGTCATGAGAAGGCTACCGAGAAGATGGGCCTAATTTTGGCAAGGACTTGGTGTACGGAGAACCGTGTTATAATTTTTTGTAATAAAAGAAAATGACTACAGACAAAAAAAGTGTGTATTGAAGCCATTTTTCTTCAAAAGTCCCACTGCCCTTATCATCATTCATTTGGACGCCCCCTGTTGGAATCATGGTGCATTTACCTGAGCTAACAATTACCAAAAAAAAAAAAAAAAAGGCTGAGGGACACATTTTAAAAAGGAGAACCAAATGAATCTGAGAGAATTAAAACACCTGGAAAAAAAAAATCTTCATTTTGTGAAAATGCTTGTGCTCGCCATCTCTTTCTCTCTCTCTCTCTCTCTCTCTCTCTCGCTGCACTCTTTAGAAAAGCAGTTGAGCCAGGTCTCTGAAGGTAGGTGCTTTTTATTATAATTTTTGCAGGTTGGCAATTCCTTGGTCAGGTACAGGCAGCGGTCAGTTCCTGTTTCAGCTGCACAATGCCCTGCATTCATCGCACACACCCCACGGCCCATAGGTAGTTAACTACGCTCAGCCAGGTGGGGACTGCCTGTATGTAGCTTCTGGGACCAGGTGGTCTTCTGCCATCCCTTCGTTGGTGGAAGACGTCACAACTGGAGGCCAACTTCTCGTCCAGCAAACAGCCGCCGGGCACCTACCTACCACAGTCTGAGTCCTTGGCCTGTGATATCCATACAAGAGAGCGGCACCCACCGTTCAGAGAGAAACACAAGAACGCACACATGGGCTAGCCCCGAAGACAAACACGGCGGTTTGGGGAGGTCAGGACGCTGTTCCTGCTTAACTGTAATATAGGAATGCATCCATTTTGCATGACCGGAGACCAAGATTGCTGTCCACCCCAAAAACCACAAAGCGTTTTCAGGGTGACCCTAGCACTTTATCTTCTCTGGATGGCATGTCAAATGGCCCTTCGGAAAGGTAGAGATTATGCTTGTGACCGGTGGGGTACTGGGTTAAGTGCTGAGCTTGTTACCCACAAGGTCAGCAGTTCGAGCCTACTAGGTGTCCCCATGGGATGTAGATGAGGCTATCTTGCTCCTGGATTGGTCTCAGAAACTCACAAGGGCAGTTCTACCCTGTCCTATAGCGTAGCTATGAGTTGGCATCGACTCGATGGCAGTGCATTTGGGGGGTTTTTGGGGGGGAACTGGGGTGCTCAGTGTTGATCTTGTAGAGATTTACAGTCTTGGGAATCCTCTGCCCTAGATACAGGATTGCCTAGGTTTTTCACCTTTCTACTATACTGTTAGTTTACTATGCTTCATGTTTCCTAAGTATGAATTGTAAACATTACCTAAGCATACCCACAAATCACTTTGGCACAAATTGAGGTCTCAGGAGTACAAAAACTAAAGATTCAGAACTCCATCACCCCCACCCCTCAAAAAAACCCCAAAACATGCTCATAGTATATATGTAAGTTACATAAACTAGGCTGTGAAGCCCCGACCCACCCCTCAGAAATCCTTAAATACAGAAGGTAGGGGCATGGAGAAATAGGAGCCAAGGCTGAAGGGCTGGGCCTATTGCATTGAATTGATTTGGGGGTTGCACCAAGAGATCGTGTCTTGAACTCATCCAAGCCAGCACTGGGAGCACCTCAATTACAAAATGGGGGTGGAGGCATGTCAAAAATGCCCACACTTGGCCAGTTCACCTACAATAGTCTTGAGGACACTGCTAGCCTCCACACTAAATGCCACTGCGAACAAGTTGGGCAGAAAGGCTTTCTACTGTCAAGAGCTGCAGTCTAGAAAGCTCACTGGAGCAGGGAGTTCACCTGCCGTGCAGGGGTGTTGCTAGAAGTTAGCATCGACTCAGTGGCAGTGAGTTTGGTTGTTCAGTTTGGGGTTTTGTTTTACAAAACTTAAGTGAGTATAATGGTAAAGCCTGTTGAAAATGTGTAGCTTTAAGATTTCTATTCGTGTAGATCTCACCAATTGATGTGGGATTTTTTGTTTTCTAATCTTGTAAAGATCTACAGCCTTCGAAACCCACAGGGGCAGTTCTACTCTGTCCCAGAGTCTCTGAGTTGAATGGATTTGATAGCAGGGAGGGAGGGAGTGATCACACTGGAATAACTGGGCCAATAAGCAAGCTCTCTTGACTGGCCTCCCCACACCACCCTCTGTAGGACAAAACAGAAAATTTTTGGAAAATTCCTCCCCCGCACTCTGTAGGACAAAACAGAAGAGATTCTTAAAAGCAGGTGTGCATCTTCTAAAAGAAGAAAGTACCCACCCCACCCCACCCAATCCAGCGTCTCCATGCCTGGTCCTCCTTATCCTCCGGCCACAGATGGGGGAAGACCCCCAAGAAACAAACATTCAGGCATCAAGTTCAGACCCTCTCTCTTGGGGGGTTTCGGCCAGTGCAATTCAGGACCAAGCACCCAAACTGGCTGATGCCATTGCCTCCCGCTCCCACCTACGCAGACACCCCCCCACCCCCGCTCCTGCCAGAGTGAAATGTTTCTATCAACTTCAGGTAGCAATTTAACAATTACCCAGAACCAAAATCAATCCCACTGCCATCATTGTAACCCTATAAGGTAGAGCAAGAAGTGTCTCTTGAGTTTCCAATGCTACAACCCTTTGCAGAATTCGACTGCCTCATCTTTCTCCCAAGGAGCAGCTGGTGAGTTCGAACCACTAACCTTGTTAATTATTTATCTTTTTTTTTTATTTATCATTTCTAAGGCAGTTCTTTTCAGAACATTCCAAGTTGTCCCTGATTTGCCAATTGTTGGAAATCTTTCTTCAGGTTTCTTTCTGGAAACCATTATTTTAACAGGTGGTTGTGAGGATTCACACACACCTTACGCTATTAAACCTTCTAGAAGTAACATCATCATAAGACACAGACTTTTCCCAAGAGGAAAAACTTTTTCTCTTCATCAGTCCAGCAAGTGAAAGCTGCCAATAGCATCTTTAACTTGGTATCAGTCTGACAACACTGACAACATCAAGTTGCATTTATGTCTTAATGGTGACCCTGGAAAATTGTGGCCAGCAAAGATTGGATTCAGACAGTACGTGCCCCTTTCTAATATCTTCTGAATCCCCAACTTAAGCCTTGTTCACAAGGAATTTCTTCTAGGATTAAATATCCCCTGGGTTTGCCTAACTAACCAGGGTCCAATCTTGAAGAAACCTCCCCTTTGGACTTACATAGTCCCCCCCGAACCCCGGCCCACCCTCCCCCCACCCCTGCACTGCACTCCCCTCCCTCCCCTTTCCTAAAAGGAAAGAACTTAAAAGAGGGAACTAGAAACTCATCTGAAATAAGCAAATCCTTCTCTACAGCTGCAAAAGCACAGGCATCTGGAACACAACCTACTTTCAGTCTTCAGCTCAACAGCAGAATTTAGAAAAAAGCAAATTCAGTTGTTTTGTGAGAAAATAACTTCATCCACTTTGCGTGCTGAGCCTTTTCAAAATGAGAACGGGAAAGAAAATCATTGCCTGGATTGGGTTCGATTAGTACACCAGAAAAGCGATTCAGCAGTCCGAGAGTTGGGGTCACGTGTTAGGAAAACGAGCAGTCAAACTTAAAGCCAGTAGAAGGGGGTGGGGGAGCCAGTGGATAGGACACGTGTCCCAAAGCACAGGGCTACCTCGCTTTCTATCTTGATGTCACTCTCGGTATCACTCAACTGCAGAATTTCAGCAATATGTAGCCTTGAACAGGCGAGTGGAGCACCAACCAAGAACGAGTTGACTCTCTGAGCTCTAGAACACAGGAGGGGGGTGCTCAAAAAGATCAGAGTAAACTGTTGCTGCTAAAGTCTCACTCCCACGAGGAAAATAACCTTGAGAGGGTGATTCTCATTGAGAATACATTAAGAAGAGAGGGAGAGGGAGAGGAAGGAAGTCCACTGATCTGATGAACTGTACAAAGTAACAAAGCCTGGTCCAGTAAAGTCCGGCAGAGCAGGGCTAGGCCAGCAGTTTTGTTTTTGTCAATTTCTTTCATTTGACAAATTCTAAAAAGTGACTAATGAGTTGTGGAAGTTCTGCTTGCCCGCTCTCCCAAGATGCAGTCAGGAAGTTAAAGAGGTCAGTGGCGTGTCTAGATCGGTGTGGAACGAGGCATTCAAAAAACAAAAAGCAAACTGTCCACTCCCCCCCCTTCACCTTTCAACTGGGTTGTCGTCCTTCCGGGCCCCTCCTTCCGGGCCCCCCTCCCCCACCCCCCATGATTTCAGACTGTCAATCTAACAAAGATGACGGCTCAAACTATTAGCAACACAAACTCCCACCAAGTGCTATCTTTGTTCTCTCCGCTGGGCATCTCGGTGTTGCGGTTTCTGCCGCTGACAACTTCTCCCCTTTCAGAGCAGGCACCTGCGGGTCGCAAGCGCTTGGGTGTAATTAACTGCCACCCGACTTTAGGTGGCGTCCTCCAACAATAGGACCCCCATCCCTTCTCCCCTTCAAAGTTGGTGGCTTCTAACAATGGTGCCTTGAAAGAATATCTAATCTTCAACCCTGCTAAAGAAAGCTGAATCCTGAAAAGACCACTAGAAAAAAAACGTTTTAAAATTACCTTCAGCTCCCATCAGTAATGGCCTATAAGGAAGGACCCTTAAAAAACAGTAGTTTTCTACCAAGCCAAAGAAGCCACATCCCCAAATGCCTTGGGGTAGTACCCAGAAGAGGAGATGAACTTTTACCTAATTAAAAACTGAGTCATTAATTTTAAAATTTCCACTTCCATTTTACTTTGACCACTTAAGTACCAGTGACTTGTCAGCTGTCATAACTGGTCAGGCCTAACCTTGGAGACAGATGGAAGTTTTCCCTTTAAGCGACTAAAGCCCTCCACTCAGCTTGAAGGCCGACAGGAAGACCCCCCTCCAGTCCGGGAGAACATTTAAATGAGGAGCCCGCCAGGAATGTCCCTCCAGCCCGGCTTCCACAGGCTCGGTCTCTGAAGTCAAGGTGCCTGCTGGACTGGCCATCCATGGATTTCCAAGGGACAGGATGAAATCTGTCCCTTTCTGGGCAAGGACCCATCATCACAGGAAACACCGTGGATCTGGGTGTCTTATTTTCTGCAGTTTCCAGAGACTGACGTTTTAAAAAGACTTTCATAAACTATTTCACATGAAACATACCAGAATCGGAAAGAGGGCCAGTGAATCAGGAAGAAAAGAGCTGAAGAAAGGCAGGCAGG